GAATTTCTTCTTTCTGTTGTTTTTCGCTCCTGAGATCAGCAAAAGTGTCGATGATGACACCAAAAATCAGGTTGAGAACGATAATAATTACGATGAAGAAAAACAGAAGATCGTAGATAACTCTCAATACAAATAATGGTTCCTGGAGGGAAAATAGAAATATATCTTAATCAGATAATAATCAGGAAACAACATTCTTTATTATGCTATTATATAAGATCACAAAATCATTGACAGGGAGTTGAAATCAGTCAAACAGCTATTCCAGATCATTTTAGAAGAACAGTAAGACTCAAGATAGCTTGTCAGGCAAGGTAAGGCAGCTGTCAGAAATGATAAAACAGTCTTTAGTGACTAAAGTATGAATTTTCTCATATTAAAGGAATTTTAATAGTTTGAATTCAACGATAGAAAAAATAAATTCAATCAGATAAAAACTGTAGTCTCTATTGTGTTCACAAGAAATGTTGACGGACAGACCGACAGGGGTGACGGCAATATACGTCCACATTTTCATTAGGGCGTATAAAAATGATGAATTGAGTATTATTAAATGAAGTAAATATATGAGATATTTTATCAGATACGTTAAAAATAGCCAAAAACTCAGGATTTACGAATTTTCTTCATCTGATTGGTCAATTACTGAATTATTGATATAAATTGATCTTTGAAAACCAATCCGAATACAGTATTGAAATCTGGATTTAGTTTAAGTCTCTAATGTTTTACTTTTAATTTCTCCCTATATCCTTATGAAATAGTTTCCTGGCTTACCCTACTACTTGGTTTACGGAGAACATCTCCAATTCCTCCTCCATTCCGTAATCCCTGATTCAGGGAGGTCAGGATACACATAATGAGAGAATCACAGGCTCTTTGTTTCCCATCTTCTTCTACACCATCACTTACTACTTCAATACCTAATAAATAATATCACTATAGCTGTAATAACGGGTTGATTTTCATCGCCCTCTTCCCATATTCGCCTCTTGCCATTATTATTTTTATAGTTTAGATGACAATGTGAGATATCTTGGCTGTAGCAATCCAGCTATGATTTATCGAATTCCGATTGGCTTAGAATCTTTAACGTGTGATTATATTCACAAGACCTTGGTTGATCGTCTCATTCACACGACTTGACACTTTGCATGTATAACTTCTAATGTGGCCTTCTAAAAGGGAAATAATCCAGGGGGAAAATTTGGAAGGGGGTGATATAAAAAAACACTGTAGAATTATAATAATAAAAATAATAAAAGATATAAAATAGCGTTTGTTACTTAAACAAGAAAAAAATATAGTACCTCCTCCCATGTTTAACAATTGATCAACGATTGACTGAGTTTTGGTACAATTTCCATCAGCTGAACACGTGGCTTCTGCTTTATTTATCATAGTTTCATCTAAAAATAATCAGTTTATTCTATAATATAGACTTCAGAATATAGAATTAACACATGTTGTGGAAGAAGTGAAGAATTCAGTAAAGAGATTGTAAAGAAGTTTTCTATACTATTTAAGTGTATTTGGGATACTGATAGCATAAATTTTCAATCCTGCGTCTCAAAATTCTACTAAAACATCACAAAAATCTGCTTTTGATACACAAGAACCTTTGCGATAGTGACGTTATAAACTACATAGTTCTAGCAGAATTGCAGGAACCACAGACGTCTGATTAAACATTTAAATAGTGCAAATTAATGCCATCAGTGTCCCTGATACTCATAATTTCTTTAGAAAACCTCTTTAAAATTACTTTAAGTTAATTGATTTGAGTCTGAATTAACTTCTTTTAAAGTTCTCACTGCTAACGAAGCAAATCAAAGAGAGGCGTTATAGAGTCCTAAACCTGTTTCCTCAATACCTTAAATATATCAATAAAATATTGTTAATATCTTTTCCTATTTCATGTATTTTAGACCTAAAGGAGTATTGTATATATGCAACAATTTGCCTCATTATAATAAAGTGAAAGTAGAACAGAGATTTTGACTTTTTATCTTTATCCATAATGAAAAAGAGATGGTAAATTCATATTTTCTAAAGAAATCTACTCACTGACAATGTCTTCTACTGGTAGCATCTCAACCTCCATTAGAAAATCATCTTGGAAGAAGATAAACCCAACTATAGAGAATAGGTAGATTAAAATAACAGCTAAAACAGCTGTTAGGATGATTGATCTACCGTTTCTAGTTACTGATCGTATCACATTAACTAACGTCTCTTCTCTATATACAACATCTAATAACTGTAATATAAAACATAGATATAAAACATCTTCTCTATATACTACATCTAATAACTGTAATATAAAACATAGATATAAAACATCTTCTCTATATACAACATCTAATAACTGTAATATAAAACATAGATATAAAACATCTTCTCTATATACTACATCTAATAACTGTAATATAAAACATAGATATAAAACATCTTCTCTATATACTACATCTAATAACTGTAATATAAAACATAGATATAAAACATCTTCTCTATATACAACATCTAATAACTGTAATATAAAACATAGATATAAAACATCTTCTCTATATACAACATCTAATAACTGTAATATAAAACATAGATATAAAACATCTTCTCTATATACAACATCTAATAACTGTAATATAAAACATAGATATAAAACATCTTCTCTATATACTACATCTAATAACTGAAATATAAAACATAGATATAAAACATCTTCTCTATATACAACATCTAATAACTGTAATATAAAACATAGATTTCTCTATATACTACATCTAATAACTGTAATATAAAACATAGATATAAAACATCTTCTCTATATACTACATCTAATAACTGTAATATAAAACATAGATATAAAACATCTTTTCTATATACAACATCTAATAACTGTAATATAAAACATAGATATAAAACATCTTCTCTATATACTACATCTAATAACTGTAATATAAAACATAGATATAAAACATCTTCTCTATATACAACATCTAATAACTGTAATATAAAACATAGATATAAAACATCTTCTCTATATACAACATCTAATAACTGTAATATAAAACATAGATATAAAACATCTTCTCTATATACTACATCTAATAACTGTAATATAAAACATAGATATAAAACATCTTCTCTATATACTACATCTAATAACTGTAATATAAAACATAGATATAAAACATCTTCTCTATATACTACATCTAATAACTGTAATATAAAACAATTATTGGGAGTGACTTCAATTAATTGCAGTATGTTTTGTGTAATTTGAAAGAGGCAGAGATCCCAGGGTGTCAGACTAGCAACCACTAATCTAACTTATTCAATTTGAACAACTCCAATAAAACTCCATTCATTTCATCTCATTTCCGATTGCTTAAAACTTACCAATAAACTGTAGAAGAATTCGTGAACACATAAACCAAGAGTACACATGGTAAGATAAATACTGTTATACATAAACTCAAAATCTGTTATAATATATCGAAATGGTTTCGTTAAAGTTCCTCGATTTCCCATTAAACTCGTTAAAAATATTGCTTTATTTATAACCTGAAATATATAGAATCAATTTATAAAACATAATAATATAGAAAATAAATTTTCAATATTCATTCTTCCTGTTAACTTGTATGTAAATAGGTTCAGATGATCTTAAAAAGTTCATTTCTAAGGTGTGACCAAACCAAGAAGCAGTTGGTAGAATCATAAACCAAAGTTGTTATCCTTCTTATCTATGTCTTCATTCAAGCTACAGATCATCAGGGAAAGAACATTACCATGAGGTTTGCTAAGTAATCAGCTGGTAGAAAGGATCCTTGTGAACCTAAGTTATTATCCTTGTAATTGTTGTTTTTTTCCTCTTTCGTGACATTAATTTCCCATATTTTAAGATCATTAATCGCATTACGTTAAAGATTATTGCTTCAATTTATTGTTGGTGAACCAATGGTATGATCTTCATTCAACTAAGCTGGTAGCCAGGTTGTTTCTTGTTTCTTTGTAAACAGTTGAAGTAACACAGTTTAAATATAGCATAAGACGTATTGAAAGAAAGAAAATGAAGAGAACTTACATTTAAAACACCAAGTAACCAAAGTGTAGGTTCCAGACCGACTGAGAATATTAATCTGAGTATAGTGGAAACAATTAAAGTACGAATACCAAGTGGACGGGGGAGGGTGATAACGAATGCTAACGATACCAACATGGCTGTCCATACTAAACCAGACAGTCTCGGATCTAGCTCTGGAACATAAATTTGAATTGATAATGAGCAGGGATAATCAAGATGAAGACAAAGCTGATAGACAGAATCTTCAGTATTTACTCTTTATTACGTATAATTGTCTAATTGAATAGAAAATTAAGACACAAGAGGCAATGATTTTATATTTAGGAGAACCAGACTTTTAATTTTAATTACGAGTTGTAAAACAAACATTAAGACGGCACACCACAATAAAATTGTCTCCTGGAATTGGGCTTTATCTACTGAAAAGGCAAATATTTATATGACTAAAAGATTCAAGGAGAGAGTTGGACGAAGTATAATGATGTACCCCAGGAAACTAGGGGGTAGGAACATCAGGGTTAAAGTAATGTATTAAATATACACACCTTTTTTGGAATTACTAAAAGGATAAAAGAAGGCCACTAGAAGGTTGATGATGACGGTGAAATTAAAAGACATGCTACCCCATAGTAACATGTGACTACTAAACCAAAATAGCAACGGATTCGCTGAAAATATAACAATTTAAATTTTTACTTCAGACTACAATAAGGTGATAATGATATGAAGGGGTAAGCTTATTTTTCAGATTTAGAGAAGGTTTAGAAGAAGTAAACATTATAAACACCTGCACACTTTATTTGCTATTACTATATATGGTAAACCAAAATAAAAAACATATTCCCTAATCCTTGGTGAGGTTACAAAGTCAATCTAAATTGACCAACGTGGATTTTGGATAAACAACCCTCGTCAGGACAGCTAGTTTAAGAAATGAAAGTTAATCCTTAAAAGTAGACTTCAATAATTCAAGTTAGAAAGTTCATTGAACATGAGTGAGAATGTGACACTGTTAAAAAAATTCAAAATCTTCAATGAAACTTTTCTTTAGGAAGCAATTTTAATTTATAATTACCTCTCAATTTCTTCTGCCATTGCATTTCTCTCAGCATGTCTTCATGACGCTCGAAAAAATCAGACACTTTACTACCCTGTTCATCACGTTCGGCAGAATTATAAACTTTTACTTTCGTCTCCTCCGTTAAATATTCACAGATTTCTGGAATTGGAAAGACGATTCTCTCCATTGTTCTATCTAGACGCACAATCTGAAAAAAACAACGACAAATTTTATTTTATTAAGTCAAATATAGGTGATGTTTTCTAGGAAAGAGAAGTCCCCTGGGGCATATGGTGTTTCATCTTTCCGTGGATATTGTTGGTTTTGCCATTCATAAGTTGTTAGAGATCTTAAGGGGTGCGGTCCACTGTCTTTCTGCAGACAATTAGATTTTCCTTTCCTTTGAATAATGAATAATCCAGGAGGACTAATTGTCAATATAAATCAGTGGATATATATTGTGACATTTCTGAAAATGGCGGCTATTCGCTACAAAACCAACGCAGTATGACAATATGAACGTTAAAAAAGACCTTCAATAACATACTTCAATCTGAGCTGTATGTTTAGCGTAAAACTCTAAAGCCTGGTCACCATATAAATCAGTACCACTAGGTTTTAATAACTCCGCCAGTTCTTTATTATGTTGTGAGAGTTGATGGGCGAGGATGAATATATTGTGACCCACAGCTTTAGGGGATGCTTCTCTTTCTTCATCATCTTCTTCATCATCTTCTACTGTATCTTCAGAATGGAACGCTTGTTTGGCTACATCAACCTACAAAATAACAATAATATTTAAGTGGACTCTCTGAATGGAACGCTTGTTTCGCTACATCAACCTAGAATATATATACCAATTCTATCAGCTATGTGAACTCTCTCAATGGAACGCTTGTTTGGCTACCATCACCTATATAAAAAAAATAACAATAACAGCTATGTGGACTCTCTGAATAAAATGCATGTTTTGCTTCCTCAATCTATAATTAATAGAAGAAATTAACCTAGAATACAGATAACAAAATAACAACAATAACTACAGTTTAATAATGGTATCTTCTTAAGGTCTAGATTAAACAATTAGTTTACCAAATTAGCTTCATAAAGATTGTCAAATACAATGTTGTAAAAAGAAAAAGGTTTTATGTTTAAACAGCAAAATCAACATTATTTTTAATCAAAATATTTCCACACTGGGATATCAAAAAAGGGTCACACTGCAAACACTCTAAAAATATTAATAATAATTCATTCTTAACTCATGGTGATTAATTGTTTAAAATAACTCAAACAGTGCCTGGTTAAAAACACTTTATAAAATCATGCGAATATAGCCAGGTTTTATGTATAGAGCAAATATATTAGTGCCAGTCCAGTGACAATTTAAAACATAAACACCAACAATTCATTTAATTTTGTTTGGTAATGTAAGTACTTAAGTAATAATGAATGCAATATTTGCCAAACTTCAATTCTCTTTAAACCAAAAGTCCAAATGCTCTGTAAGTTTTTATATTTTGAATCAGGGTGGGCACTAATATCTTTGTCTGCAAATTCAAACAGTAATTTTTAGTTTTAAAAAACCTTTTTTAGCTTACATTCAAATCTAAGATTGAAAATCAACAGCCACTTGGATTAATATAAAACATCAAACAGGTTTAAGTAGGGTGGCAATCACAAACTAGGGGCTTGTCAGCAACATCATAACTTTCCAAGATGTGTAGACGTACAAAATTACGAACTCTGATTGGATGATGCTATTACAGAGATGATATCGACTAATCAGATTTCTAGAATCTTAAAATTAGTCACAAATATAAAGTACTAAAAACACTGATTGGTTGACATAATTGCAAGAAAAAAAATTAACCATCAGATTTTAGAAGCTAACTAGATACAAAAATCGCCAGTTACAAATTTCCTGACAACAGCCCCCTAGGGTAAATAAAAGTGTATTTTTGAACAAGTTAATCGTGCGGAGAGAAAGATTTATAGACCTGAGTGAAATATATGGCATCCCCTTCCAATATCCCCTGTTTAAATACACGTTTTATAGATTCTACCTGAAAATAACAGCCAATGAAAAAGAAGAATTTGACTTAACCATAAGATAAGGTAGCAACGATATCCCGGGGATGATGATATGATACGATATTATTTTTAATAATCGCGACATATCGTCATCCCCAGGATATCGCTGCTACCTTACCATAAGATATAGCATGTACTCTTGTGAAATTTTCAAAGCAAATCTGAGACACCCAGATAAGAAAGAGTCTCAATTTCTCAAAAATATTGAAGCATAAGGCAAGACTTTTTGAAAAAACATTGGCAAAGAGGTATCATAAAATGATAGTTTGTCTTAGAGAATGATAAGTTATAACTTACTAGTTGTTTTGGACTCATATTAGAGAGAATTCGTTCAGCGTTCTCACTATCGTGTCTACTCTCCATTATAGCTAGTAGTAGTTTTGACGCGTTATTCTGAAAGATATAATTATAATAAAAAATAAAACTGTAAGTCTGCAACTATTTACATTATCTTCATTATCTTCTCAAGTCATAATACTGTATTTATTTACAGTGGAGCCGGGTTTATCTGGTTGCCAATAATCTGGATAAATAAGCATATCTAGCTTACAAAAAAGCTAAATCAGAATTTAAGAGTAAATGTTTTGTCACTCAGCTATCCCCTGTGATAATTTGCAGGCCAAACCAAGTCAAGACAAAACAATAGAAACCTCATAGTAATGTTTTACTTAATGAACCCAAGTCTGGTATGATTTGTTTGATGACATCATCATTCATATAAAAATAGGATACTTACCTTCAGTTCTAGAACTAGATCCATTCTCTGTTTCCCGAGTGGATTAATATCATTTAATAATAACGCTATAATAATATCTATTCCATTACTCTCATGCATAGCGATAGAATTCTACAATAGAAAACAATAGAATTCTACAATAGAATACAATAGAATTCTACAATAGAAAACAATAGAATTCTACAATAGAATACAATAGAATTCTAAAATAGAAAACAATAGAATTCTACAATAGAATACAATAGAATTCTACAATAGAAAACAATAGAATTCTACAATAGAATTCTACAATAGAAAACAATAGAATTCTACAATAGAAAACAATAGAATTCTACAATAGAATACAATAGAATTCTACAATAGAAAACAATAGAATTCTACAATAGAAAACAATAGAATTCTACAATAGAAAACAACAGAATTCTACAATAGAATACAATAGAATTCTACAATAGAAAACAATAGAATTCTACAATAGAATACAATAGAATTCTACAATAGAAAACAATAGAATTCTACAATAGAAAACAATAGAATTCTACAATAGAAAACAATAGAATTCTACAATAGAATACAATAGAATTCTACAATATAAAACAATAGAATTCTACAACAGAATTCTACAATAGAATTCTACAATAGAATTCTACAATAGAATTCTACAATAGAATTCTACAATAGAAAACAATAATAATTCAATCTTCAGGGAAGGAAAGGAAGAAACTGTCATTTTTTACGTGGATGACAACTTTTGTTCAAGAGGATCCTTTCTACTAGCTTATGTGCATTAACTTTACCCATTTACGGCTGAGATTAGAACCTACAACTACCATTGTTCCACCTTTCCAAGCAAAAGATGTAACGTAAAGACTCCATCAATCTAGCTTTCTTTGAGAAACTTCCTAATAAAAACCCCACAAAAAACTAAGCACATGTTGTGAAAGGAATGTGAAGGTGTAGAACAATACAAACCTGGTTGATATGACACGGTCCTTGACAATATTCTGTTAAACTAGTTAACGCCTGGTTAATCAAACCTACATTATTTATATTAATATATAAACCTAGTAGACCCAATCCTCCAGTCGTACTACCACAGATACAATCTAAAAACTGCAGAGTTTCACAAACTAAATTATAACTTGTTTTATTGTCTTGTTGACGCAGGT